TTTTGCCTATACTATATATATACTGTATTCGGGTAAACACAGCAATTGTCGAACCTTGTCCAGCACAAGCGTGCCTTGAAGAGGAACAATCGCAGGTCAGCAAAGGCACCCAGAAAACATCGCTCATAAGGGTCGAGTAGCTCCCTCCAAAAATGTTTCCTTTGTCTGGAGAATAAACCACAAAAAAGCATTGCATTTTTTTTCAATTTTCACACGTCAGATCCGTTATTGGATTCATTGGAAAATAAACAACGTGGAAAATGTGTGCGTACCGGATTTCCACTGCAACTTGGACCTGAAGTTCCGGGTCCTTCCGGACCTGAGCAGCTGATGCAACAGCTGAGCCTTTTGGTAACAGACCTCCGAAGCTCTGTCACTGGCCCACTGCTGTTCTCCATTTTGTTTCGAGGTGACATTTTGTGTTGTATCGTTCCCGAATGACTCGTACGGGTTGTTACCATCTTTCGTCATCCTGGATGAAGTAGTGTTACCGTCTCTTTCTCCGTGGGCTATGAATTGCCAGTCGTGTCGCATCCACCAGAGCTGAAAAAAATTGATGAAATGGAAATATTTTCGTGAACCTTTTTTGCGTCAACGAAATCAAATGTATATTCACCAAATGCATGATGTTTTTTGCAGCAGTGATGACCTTCGTGTCCGAGGCTATTCGTGACAGAATCGCCGTGTTTGTGTCATTGGTGCCGCCGATTCCAAGTTCGATACCAAAACTCAGGAAAACCAGCGCTTCGAAATCTTCGTTCGTCATTGCCTTTGCTCTGCCACCTTCACTGTGTGATGTAGAAAAAGGAGAACATTTTAAAATAGTTTTTAGTTGTGACCAGATGCTGGGAGAATGAGTTAACCAATTTATCCTAACAGAAGAGTTTGCTGAATTGTTCATCCATTCACCTTTACGTTTATCCTGTTAACTTATGAATTCCTACAAGGAATTTCTGGTCCTGTCCCGGATTGATTGTTGTGCTTTATTGCAACACTCAACATCAACTTATATTGCAGTGACATCTGTCCCCAATATTATCTGCATTAAATTTCCATATAAAAAAAAAAAAACAGGCCAGGTCCTTGAAATTTGTCAGTCAAAACATCATTTGATGAAATATTTTGGAGGTTGAACTTGAAATGAGATTTGATCTCAAACATTAAGATACTGCATCTTCAAAAGTGCATTTGGAAGTCTAGGTATACCTTCTGCAATTGACCCTGATAGGGGTTTNATTGGACCCTCCGAATGCAATTTGTTCGAACGCTTGAGCGACATCTTGCAAGGCGTTCCGTAACCCAGGACTAGTGGACGGTGAAGAAGAAGAAGAACCCGTCGGGTTGGGTTCGTCTTTACCGTCGCTCTGGATTGCTCCCAGTACAACGGAACGCATGAATGTGTCCAGGGCTGGGAGTCTGCCTGGACAGACTCTGTCTTGGGACAGGGTGAAGAATTTGGCAAACCCAGATGTGTAATTGCTTTCGGAATCGAGAGTTGTCCGAATTTCTTGAGAGAACTTAATTTGCGAGGGTGGACAAAAAAGAGAGAGCAGATTTTTGTAGATTCCAAATTTGGAGAAACGCGAGGTTTGCATGGAAAAAGAGGCCACTCTATAAATGAAAAATAGCTTGAAAAATTTTAAATTAATTATAATATTAAGATATGTACTCAAAGAATACACTACAGTACTAGTGTACTTAAAAAGGAGAACTTGTTCAGTTTACTCATGATCTTTGGTTATTTATCTGGGATTTGCCTCGAAATGAGAGTTAACAAAGCATATTCTTGCAATTGCATTGCAAAAAACTCGAGAAATGTCTGCATCAGTTTTTGAGATTTTAGTCGTTTTACTGCAGCTTCTTAGCTCAAGCTTTTTTGGAGGGTTTGACGCCAAAAATTGAGATTTTTATTCAAATCTCAATACATTCAAAACTGAAGATAATAATTGAGTCATCTGAGTGGTGAGCATTAAAAATTCTTCTCAATCCCTGGCCTCACCATCAGAAAGGGGTTTCTAAAAAAAAAAGTCAATTATAACATAGCCATTGAAATTGAGCTCCGTGTAAATCATGCAATTCTTTTTAAATATACTAGTCAAGGGAATTCTACTGCTTTTTCTTGGAAGTCCAAAAATATCAATTTTTACAACATATACCTAATGTACTATACCAAAACGCACACTACAACACATTTCAGAATGGCCTTCATCTCCAAGAGTGTTCTCAATGGACTCCCAATGTGTCCTGGAATGCTTCCCTGAGAATGCCACAGCAGGGGGCATTAGCTCAAAATCTTAACCATTGAGAGAATGGGTTGCAGAATGCATTGGCACTCCATTTCTCTCAATGTTTCACAGCCCAGCGCCCCCCTTATTTGCTGGGTAAAGTTACATTAATACTTTTATTTTAGAAAACAAATGTATTTTTACACAGCTAAAAACATGACAAATATAAACTTGAAAATAAAGGATTAAAATATAGAAAATAGCAAACCTGAGTCTCCAACGTAGATTTGGTGTCAAGGAACGCATTGATGAAAGCGGCAGAAAGTGTTGCAAAATTGACACCGTCTTGAGGAGGCTTCAGGTCAACTACGGAGCACCTTTTTTTTTTCCAAAGAAATAGCATAATTTTGTGTTTCAATCAGATTGTGCTGCGATTTACATTGAAATATTTAACTTAGGCCTCTTACATTCCTGCGTTGGACAACACAGACGCAAACGATTGAACAGCTGAGTGGTGTTGAATGAGCTTTTGATTTTCCCAGTCATTGGGATCCAATACCCGAAATCCAGTGGATCCGATTTCAGGCTGAAAATATTGAGAATAATGGAAAACTTTTGAGGGCAGTAAATCATATACTGTACAGTGAAATTTATGGCATACTTTGGATGAAACGTTGAAATTCCTATTTCTGCACATATCAAGAGCCGCACTTTGGAAAATTAATTTCAAAAGAAAAACACACTTGGAATGGATTTCTTCTCTTTTCAGTCTCTTTCTTAATACTGTATCTCACACCTTGACACATATTGTTGAAATTTTTTGATTTAGAAATTTTTTGAAATTTTACACACGCCGTCAGCGTGTGTGAATTAATTTTCAACAGCGTTTGGGACCATAAATGGAGTCAAATACTTTCAAAATTTCTAGAGAAGAAATATCTTGTCTGACCCAACCTTATTATTGTCTTGTGCGAATCATTTTCAAAAATTAATGCAAATGTGACGCATTATTTTGCAGCCACCCCGCAACAAAACGCAGTGAAAAATCTTTTGTTAAATTTGTTGCTGATTTTCAAAACAGTTTTGCTATTAAATTCTTCAAAATACTGCGACCATCACCAACACACTTGATCGGTTAATTTTCAAAATTGAGAACCTCAGGCATTATTATCCCCTTATCGCATCAGAGGAAATAAATCACCTCAAAACTGATGGCTGTTGTTTTGCCACGAGGCCCGTCTCCAGATTTCACATAAAGTGGAGCAGGTTTCGAAGTCATTTGATCAATTTCGCCCTGAATTGGCAAACATCGGGTTCCTGGCCTCATCATCGGTTCCTGCATCATTCCTTGTCTACTTCCGTTGCCATACATGCCATTATTACCTTCATAATCGGACCACAAAATACAAATAACCATTATTTTATGGCTCTGCAAAATTCACCACGTATTTTCTCTTACTTTCGTTGCCCGGAGAAAACGTGGAGCAATCCACGAAGAATGGGTATTTGACGACATTATTAGTGAAGTCCCCATCGACCAAAAGTTGGATTTCCACTACTAATAGCAGTGGACCACATGCGAATTTCGGCAGAATGATTCCAGTGAGATTCAGAATCCTGGACTCATTAACTCGCAGATCTTGACCAAAAAATGGGGGGAAAAAACGATCGGAGATTATGCCAGCGAAAATTAGAGTAGATTTGGGAGAATTCCAAGGTCTCAACTATTTCAGGAATACTTGCCGAAGTATAAAATTCCGTCAGATTTTCACCGATTTCTTGAACGATAAGAATCTAACTCAAAGTGATGATATTTTCATCACCAAATTTACGCGAGAATAATATTCATATGCTTTTCTCGAGCACACTCAGATGATTTAAAATTTATCAAAAACTTCTTGAAGTAAACTAAGAAAAGTTGATATTTGATTTCATCTCGATTGAGCAAATATAGAAATAAATAAATACACACTGGTTGATACGCCATTCAACAGCCTTGTTGTGTTGGCGTCGATGAGAATGTCTCCGTCCTTGACATTCAAGCCAGGCAAGCTACCTGATGCATTGCTGAAATTTCAAATGAAATATTTTTGTTGTTGTTGCTAAATTCAAGTGGAAGCAGTTCGTTTTGCTGGGATGTGAATTTCATCCCTTACCCCATTTCGTTCATCAACCGACGCAGAAAAACACGAACTTTCGGAGCGTGAAGGTTCCGCAAGTCGACGGGCGAAGGGCCGAAATTTGTTATGTTCACACCTGTTTTATTTAAAAAGCAAAAAGTAAAAAAGTACGAGTCAAGGTCTGTGCCAAATTCTGAAAGCCAGTATTTTTCATGTTTGGACGAATTTTGTTTTTGCAGCCTTTCGTGTAGAAGCTGCTTTCATTCTTTTCCACGACGAGTTGGAAAATGTTGCATATTAGCATTGTGAACCAAATATAATGCACAAATTCTCGTTCATTTATGTAAATAAAATATTGCTCTTGTACGGGTACGTTTTGCATTATGGTAGTGTTTTTTCAATTATAAAGGCACATACATGCTGTCAGAAATGATTTAAGAAGAAATATAAAAATGTGTTTTGAAAATGAATGTCTTGAAGAGTTCAGTCGGGCTGCAACCGGGGTGAGGTTTCACCCTATTCTAAGGTTGTTGTAATTTGTACAAACACAATATTTGCAAAATTGCTTGAGTGTTGCATATGAGAGCTCAGGGAGAAGTGAAGTTTTGAAATAAAGTAGGAAAACAGGAAAACTATCCTTCAAGGATGAATAACAGTTTTTTTTTAGGATTTCCAGAAATTTGGCAATGAAATGAACCTTGGAGGTTTTGAGAAAAAATTGGTGGGTAAACCAGAGTTTTTCCTGGTTCACACAAAGATGTACAAGGACAAGTTTTCCAAGAATTTTGATTCTTGGGTCAGTTATTTAGAGTGACAAATTTTACTCTACTGTTCATTTTTTGCAACACATGAAATTCAATTTCCGACTGTTTCAGATGAGTATTCCTCCAGCTGTTTGCACATGTCATGCATATGATTTGATTCCAAATGCATGTCCTAAAATTTATGTGAGGATAATTTTCTTCTGGTTTAATTGTCCCGATTATATTTAATCTTATGAATACAACACGTTTTCAGCTGTGATCAACCACTGCCTGTTATCTTTCTACGAGGGATTTGAAAAGCGTTAAAAATATCTAATTTCTCACTGAACACTGCACAGTAACTTCTAGAAGTGATTTTTGTTGTTGGAAAAATGCACATGAAACTCACTGAGAACATTCGACGCGAACATGCTCTTGTCACCAGAGTTGTAAATTTGAACTCCATTGGAGACCAGCATTTGTTTGATTCCGTCCATCATTGATTTTTGATTCTGACCAGGCCAACTGTTTCCTTGGAAATTCCCACTTTGATCCCTGAAAAAAAATTCAAGAAATATTTTCATTTTTGAGGAGAAAGTTCTATTCTATACTTCATCGAATAAATGAAAGGACAATTTCAATATCGATTGCAACAGTGGGATCATGAAAGAAGAAATCGATTATGATGGAAAGGTGTCAAAGGTTTTACAAAAATTGTGTTTAGAGACCCTTGAATGCTGGTAAAATGCTCAACGAATAAAATTTTCGATTCACAGTAGTTCGGAGATTTTTCTGACGTCGTTCCTCGCCAATTTTTTTCTTTCTTTCTTAAAAGAAAATTCAAGAAAGCTATACGCCAGTGTTCTCCTATGGATTCAGTTAGAAAAACGATCCGAAATCAAAGTTGAAACTGGGCACCCAGTGAATTTTCACGCACCACCAGGATTAATTGTTTTCTTGGACAAATTTCCCCAATTCACCGACATTCTGACTTAAATCGCATTTGCTAAAATGAAGGTGTCCAACAGGTCCGTACAAGTTATGCCAATTTTTACACTGTTCAATAAGGTATATTTCATGGCAGATGGTAGACTGAAAATTTTAAGCAGTGATATTAAGGTTCAGTGTCAGCAAAAAATTCGCTTTGAAGTACTGTATACTGAAATCACTTTTGAAATCATCCACATTTTTTCTCTTCTAATGTACTCTTTCATTGGGGACATTTAATTTCTAACCATTGGAATGTATTTTTGACAAAATTGAATATTTTAAAGTCTTTGAGGAAATTTTTAAAGAAAACAATGCACACACACACACACACAAAATACTCAGTTTCTGATGGGAGCTGTGACCATTACAAATATGGGCGGTCAGTTCTGAGGGGGACAGGTGTCGCTAGTCTCTCCCTCTCACAAAAGCCATGCTGGAATTCCAATCTGGAATTCAAACTTGGCATTCCCAGCCTCCTCTATTTTCCGATAAGATAAATCAGTCAGTCCCGTTTCATCTTGCGTAGCAAAAACATCGTTGTTCAGTGCTATCTTGTCAATTGCTTTTTCAAAATATACTTTTTATCCTATTTCTTTTGGAACCTTTACCAAAGGGTTCCCTGCCGTGTTCCCCGGCAGATTCTGTGTTTCATTGATTTCATTATCAAGTTTTACTTTTTCTAATTCAATCTTCTTTGTGGCTGTGCGCCACAAGTTCTTCTCTATTGGTACCTCACGGTCTAATAAGGAACCACACACAATATATACACAACTACGTACTTGAACATTGAAGATGACGAGTATTGACTTTCAGATTGGTAACCATGTTTGCTCCGGAATTCATCATNTGACATTCAAGCCAGGCAAGCTACCTGATGTATTGCTGAAATTTAAAATGAAATATTTTTGTTGTTGTTACTAAATTCAAGTGGAAGTGTAGTTCTTTTTGGGATGTGAATTTCATCCCTTACCCCATTTCGTTCATCAACCGACGCAGAAAAACACGAACTTTCGGAGCGTGAAGGTTCCGCAAGTCGACGGGCGAAGGGCCGAAATTTGTTATGTTCACACCTGTTTTATTTAAAAAGCAAAAAGTAAAAAAGTACGAGTCAAGGTCTGTGCCAAATTCTGAAAGCCAGTATTTTTCATGTTTGGACGAATTTTGTTTTTGCAGCCTTTCGTGTAGAAGCTGCTTTCATTCTTTTCCACGACGAGTTGGAAAATGTTGCATATTAGCATTGTGAACCAAATATAATGCACAAATTCTAGTTCATTTATGCAAATAAAATATTGCTCTTGTGCGTGTACGGTTTGCATTATGGTAGTGTTTTGTCAATTATAAAGGTACATACATGCTGTCAGGAATGATTTAGGAAGAAATATAAAAAGGTGTTTTGAAAATGAATGTCACAAAGAGTTCAGTCGGGCTGCAACTGATGGGTTGAAGTTTCACCCTATTCTAAGGTTGTTGTAATTTGTACAAACACAATATTTGCAAAATTGCTTGAGTGTAGCATATGAGAGCTCAGGGAGAAATGAAGTTTTGAAATAAAGTAGGAAAACAGGAAAACTATCCTTCAAGGATGAATAACAGTTTTTTTTTTAGGATTTCCAGAAATTTGGCAATGAAATGAACCTTGGAGGTTTTGAGAAATAATTGGTGGGTAAACCAGAGTTTTTCCTGGTTCACACAAAGATGTACAAGGACAAGTTTTCCAAGAATTTTGATTCTTGGGTCAGTTATTTAGAGTGACAAATTTTACTCTACTGTTCATTTTTTGCAACACAAGCAATTCAATTTCCAACTGTTTCAAATGAGTATTCCTCCAGCTGTTTGCACATGTCATGCATATGATTTGATTCCAAATGCATGTTCTAAAATTTATGTGAGGATAATTTTCTTCTGGTTTAATTGTCACGATTATATTTAATCTTATGAATACAACACGTTTTCAGCTGTAATCAACCACTGCCTGTTATCTTTCTACGAGGGATTTGAAAAGCGTTAAAAGTATCAACTTTCTTACTGAACACTGCACCGTAACTTCTAGAAGTGATTTTTGTTGTTGGAAAAATGCACATGAAACTCACTGAAAACATTTGACGCGAACATGCTCTTGTCACCAGAGTTGTAAATTCGAACTCCATTGGAGACCAGCATTTGTTTGATTCCGTCCATCATTGATTTTTGATTCTGACCAGGCCAACTGTTTCCTTGGAAATTCCCACTTTGATCCCTGGAAAAAAAAAAATTTAAGAAATATTTCCAGTTTTGAGGAGAAAGTTCTATTCTATACTTCATCGAATAAATTAAAGGACAATTTCAAAATCAATTGCAACAGTGGGATCATGAAAGAAAAAATCGATTATGATGGAAAAAGGTGGATAGTTTTACAAAAGTTTTGATTAGATACCCTCGAATGATGGTAAAATGTTCAGCGAACAAAATTTTCGATTCACAGTAGTTCGGAGATTTTTCTGACGTCGTTCCTCGCCAATTTTTTTCTTTCTTTCTTAAAAGAAAATTCAAGAAAGCTATATGCCAGTATGGATTCAGTAAGAAAAACGATCCGAAATCAAAGTTGAAACTGGGCACCCAGTGAATTTTCACGCACCACCAGGATTAATTGTTTTCTTGGACAAATTTCCCCAATTCACCGACATTCTGACTTGAATCGCATTTGCTAAAATGAAGGTGTCCAACAGGTCCGTACAAGTTATGCCAATTTTTACCCTGTTCAATAAGGTATATTTCATGGCAGATGGTAGACTGAAAATTTTAAGCAGTGATATTAAGGTTCAGTGTCAGCAAAAAATTCGCTTTGAAGTACTGTATACTGAAATCACTTTTGAAATCATCCACATTTTTTCTCTTCTAATGTACTCTTTCATTGGGGACATTTAATTTCTAACCATTTGAATGTATTTTTGACAGAATTAAATCTTTTAAAGTCTTTCAGGAAAATTTTAAAGAAAACAATGCACACACACACACACACAAAATACTCAGTTTCTGATGGGAGCTGTGACCATTACAAATATGGGCGGTCAGTTCTGTGGGGGACAGGTGTCGCTAGTCTCTCCCTCTCACAAAAGCCATGCTGGAATTCCAATCTGGAATTCAAACTTGGCATTCCCAGCATCCTCTATTTTCCGATAAGATAATTCAGTCAGTCACGTTTCACCTTGCGTAGCAAAAACATTGTTGTTCAGTGCTATCTTGTCAATTGCTTTTTCAAAATATACTTTTTATCCTATTTCTTTTGGAACCCTTACCAAAGGGTTCCCTGCCGTGTTCCCCGGCAGATTCTGTGTTTCATTGATTTCATTATCAAGTTTTACTTTTTCTAATTCAATCTTCTTTGTGGCTGTGCGCCACAAGTTCTTCCTAAATTCCAGCAGTTCATTGGGTGGTGCTCTATTGGTACCTCACGGTCTAATAAGGAACCACACACAATATATACACAACTACGTACTTGAACATTGAAGATGACGAGTATTGACTTTCAGATTGGTAACCATGTTTGCTCCGGAATTCATCATAGCCTCGTTTGCCACCACCTCCCCTACCTCCTGGAGGGGCTCCACCACCACCACCGCCTTTTCCACCAGCACCACCGCCTTTTCCACCACCACCGCCACCACCGGGTTTACCCGATGGTCCACCCTGACCCTTGGTGCAGTTGCCATTGGTGGATGAATCGCAGCCACGGGTTTCATTGTGATGTGGTTTGAAAGTGCAGTTGCCAGATGTTTCGTTGCACCACTGATGGTGTCGCAAAGTGCAATTCTCGACGGTCGAATTGCAAAAATAGCCGAGTCCCTCACGAGTATGATTGTGCGAATGATTCCGGTTTGTTTCATTGCAGGGGAAAACTGTAATAAAAAAGAATGAATAAGACGACGAAACTGGTATATATAGGCAACTCCCAAATTCTTATAAAAACCCCCAATTTTTTGCTCTTCAGACAACGTATAAGTTATATCTTTTTAAAAAAAAATGGAAATGAGGGCGGATGCATTTCTGGTGAAAGCGCGGTTGTTCGAAATTTTTGGCATCAATTTTCTGTCTGAATCGATAATTTGAAAAAAAAAATTTACAATTCCAGGAGCTCATTTTCAAAGAGAAAAATCAATGAAGAGCCACTATATGCATGCTGCTGCTGGTTCCTTATTAAATTTTCTGCAAAACTCAGCATAGACATTTAATCAATATTTTTTATCAATGTCTATATGAGAGAGTCTTGCAGAAAATTTTGACACCACTCAGTCTTACACTCCTGTGTTTATTTGTTAGTTTATCTCCAAATTGAAAATGTATTTGCATTTTATTTAAAATACAGTATTGTACAGTNAGATGTCGCCCTTGGTCTCTGTCACCTCCTGGCGGAGGCGGTTGTCGAGCATTCCCAGATGCAAATGCCTGAGATCCTCGACCTCCAGCACCAGAACCCGCCTGAACCGGGTTCTGTGATCCCTTCTGTTGGGGTTTGCGTTGTTCGGGTTTCCCGGTTTTATTGCCTCCTGACTGCTGCGAAAACGATTCATTGCCCATTCGCGATGAGTTCCCACCAGATTTTTTACCCCCATTCCCCATCATCATCATGCTAGATTCGTTCCTTTCTGATGATCGGTGTTGTGGTGATGAGCTGCTGTTATTCAGCCAGGTTTCATTCCAGTGCTTATTTGCTCGAGAGGAGTTGAGGAATGTGTCATTGTTATTTTTGTCGAATCGCAATTGATTCATCCTTCGTTCAGTGTCGTTATTGAGGGATGTTGATTCGTTGCCGAGTCTTTCGAGTCGGCTGCTGTTGAAGTGACGACTTTCATTGCGATTTCCGAAATTATTGCTGGAAGTATTATTCCGCGTTTCGTTGGAATTTCTTCGGTCATCGGGCCTCGAGGAATTTCCCGAAGTTCGAGGCATGTCCTGGGAAGAACGCAGTGCCTGAGCTGTTCTTGGCCCTTGAAAATCAGAGATTATTTTAGTTTTTGATGTTAACTTCAACTAAAACAAAAAAGTTGCATGAAGATCATCTGTTGTATCAATTAAATGCGACCTTTTTTCCACCTACAAGTGTGTACAGTACAGTATTAGAAATGCAATTTTCATTCAATTTACTTCTTGAAAATTTTCTTGGCCACAAACAAATATATTCATTGATGGTCCGGATGAATTCGGATACCTAGGGTATTATTATCTTGTGTCATATTGTATTGCCTTTCTTTAAGCGTTCTTTTAATTATTTTATTGTATTTTTTGCAAAGCGACTGATGATTTAATCTGATATATGCTGGTGCTCAACTGCTCAATGAGTGCCAGACTGGTTATTTTGATTTCATCTGTTACGGAATTTGCTATTGTTTTGCATAATGCTGCTTTGGTGAATTTTGCATGCGTGAATGATGAAATGGAGTCAGTCTCACTAAAAAATGCTTGGAAACATTTCGTTCATTTTTTTCCCTTGATTAAAACTGACACACAACACTAAGGTCTCTAAACAGAACTTTTAACACAAATTGCTTGCAAGCTGCATAAATGCTCCTATACACTTCATTTTACCTCAAATTTGGAAAGATTGTGCTATTTTTAGATAAAACGAGCCACAATCATCCAATGCATTTGATTTTTTTCAGGAGAAAGTTCTCGTACAGTGCTTGGTTTTTTTTTTAGCGTTAACCACATTATAGGTCACACGTACTAAGGGCGACATCTAAGTCACTTAATTTGCAGATATACACAATCACAAAGGGTCTCAAACCTGAGAAGCACTGTACAATATTGTATTTGAATTCAGGAACATAAGTTCTCATTGGACTTCCGATCGAAAAACCTTTTTGTACAACATTTTCTGTGAATTACCTTTATCAGAACCAGGTGGAGGTCTTTTATCGCCACGTCCTGGCGGTCTTTGCTCATGTCCTTGACCACCTGTGCCATTATTGCTCATGTTGCTCCCAGGTAACAGGTTCCGAATGCTGCTTGTGTCATTCTGCGAAAAATTTTCGCGGCTGTGCCGCAAAGTTCCATTTTCGAATCCGCGAGTGTGGTTGAACGTGAGTTCGCCCAGTTCTGAGTTTCTGTTGAAGGTGTCATTGCTTCCGGGTGTTGGTGGAGATGGAAAGTCTGAGGGTTGAAAATTCCATTCAGTTGAAATTCAAGAAAAAAAACAAAAATCTTCTTTTGGGCAACAACTTATTCATCTGTGTCAAATCAGTAATTGAGGTCGGGTATTTATTGTAGGTTTGATACCCTGCAAAAAAAAGACGCGTCACCTGTCATGGCGATTTTTTTCTTTACTAAAAAACAACTTGTACTTCGACTTTTTCCTGCTTATAGGAAAACGAACTCCGTGACAAATAAAGGATACGGAAAAAAATTGAGTTCCGGGGGAAATTGTTGCCCAAGAGGCCAAGAGTCACGATATAACTTTTCAAAATCGCAAAGGCTTTTTTTAACGTTTTTCTTTCTCGCGTTGAAATGGGTTTTCCCTCCATTTGTGAACGCATTCTTCTAACATTAGACGTGAAAACCGTCAATGGATTTATTCAACATATGGTTTCAAACTTTTCCCAGTATTTAAATGAAATGTCGTCTTACTATTTTATATGTACTGTATGTGAACATTGAAAAACGTTGACTGTACCTGGCATGGCTTCTCGTTTGACACGTTGGAACTCATCGTCATCATCATCATCATCATTGTCTTCTTCAGAACTGTTGTCGTCGGTCATGTTGCTCATGTAAGCAGCTGAATGTGAAGCAATGTTCTCCATCCACCAACTCAGTGATTTCCCTGAAGTTTGGTTCATTTGGCTGACCAAGGCGACATCTGGCGGGTGGTATAAAAAATCATTTTTTCCACAGAAAGCGGTTGATGGAATACAGTATTACTGAAGCACTAAAATTTATTTATCCTTCCACACGGCAGGATTAATGCGAAGAATTGATGGTTCACATTCTTTGTCTACTTATCTTGCATAATTTTCTCTTTTTTTTCTCAGCATTTGTGACTGCTCATGAAGATAATTTCAAGGAAAACTTGCTCATGGATTAAAGAAAAAATCTAATTATTTGCTAGAATCAAGTTTTCGTTTCGGGGTTTTGTCATGAGATTTGCGTTTTCCTATAGATAGCAGAGAATTTTCAAAACAAATGAAATTTGTACAGTATTGCTCCATGTAAAATTCTTTTTTGAAAAGTTCCATAGGGTTTTTTTGTGGATTTTTCGTTATGCAGAAAACCAATCAATCTAACTTAGTAATTACAGCAAACGTAAGGAAAACCCCCTTAGAATGTTTCCGGTATATATACTATAAAATAATGTATATACTTTTTGAATTTAACGTAATTGGGCAACTTTCATTTTTTGAGTGAAGTCTCATTCCCAAAGAAAATTCTGGCAATAAAGAATGCAAAATGTCCTCTAAGAATATTGTATATCTTGTGGTCAATAAGGAAGTAAATCCTTCAGAACCAAGGAGGCGCCCAAGGTGGAAAAGTAGCTTAGCATTTTTTTTAATTGTCAATCAAATAAGATTACAAAATTCTGCCGAAATAATTGCTGGTCTGATGATTACATTTTTCAGTAAATATTTTGAAATTCAACTGGACATGGTCCTGAATTTCCATTGTGTGGCTCTGAGTTGTGTATACCAGGGTCTCATTTTTCCCTGGCACTCAGTTTTTTAGGATTCAGTTCAAGTGTTGCGGTCAAGTTGGAAAAAAAAAACTCACCGGAAATTTCAAGTGGACCCATAACTTCCCTGCCACAATTGGTTCCACTGATTGGAAAGGACAAGGACATGACATCCCTTTGTCCAACTGCAGCAAACCGTGGATGAAGTAGCTGATCGCTGGTTAAAGAGTCCAGAGAAGATGTCGTTGTCCCATACTCGAGCACCACGTGGATCAGGGCCATGGTGCAGTTGAGCTCTGTTGGTAATGTGGCCTCGGGGACTGTGTAAATCCAGGTGCGGGTTCCTGAGTCATTCCTGCTGACGATGTTGTTGCCTGATCAAGAAGAAAACAAAGGATTATTTTCCTAACGCAAGTGAGCGAGATACACATTTCAGAGAATCTATGCAGTACGTGAGTAAACATTATATATTACATTATGACATATAAACAAAGAACTGCAATTGGACATTGTGAATTATCAAACCTCCATAAGTCAAGATGATTCTCTTCAATTGGAATACCCAGAATAACCCCATGCTAATTCCAACAATTCGAATGCAATTTAAACCTCCTGAATTCAAAACTGTAGTCCAAACTGTGAGGACTTCACGTTATAAAATTGTTGAATCTACAACTTCTCCTTATTCCTGCAATAAATTTATTTTAATTGTAATCAGATGGATAAATTGAAGATATTTGCAAGACTCAATCTTCATGGATACCAGAAACGAATAAAGTTGATTCTTCACCTATAAAGTATATATACAGGCTGAAGAAACTGAAAATTTTTAATATTTTAGTACAAAATTTCATTTTCTTAGTCAACAACACGACTTTTCTGCTGATATTTTTAAATGGAATTCGTAGCAATCTGAGAAGTTGCGAATTCTACAACCGGGATTTTTTTTTATTGGTGATCCCAAGTATAAATTTATAATTTTTTGCTGCTGCATAAAGCATTCTCTGAAATATATTACGGTACATATAATTTATGACTGACATATGCAATGTACGCAAGGCCACTCAGGAACCTGTGGAATAAAAATTGCTTCAAACTAGAAAATGTCTCTAAATTTTTATTTCAAGATAAACTGTATGAATGAATGAACAGAACACTTTACTTGCCGCTTTTCAGCATTCACATGGTCCAATCAAGATTTCCACAACCACACCCCCTTCCCACCCAACCCAAATCCACTCAATGATAAACTGTATTTTCCTTGGTGGTAATAAGTGATGCCCTGGAGCACTTAACTAGATTTCAGGAGAGTAGAAAATCCCGTATATATTACAGAGACATATAAAAGGCTAAAAACATAACCTTTTCGTAATTCGGGAAACATATTTTTAGGAATGCTCTACATTCTTAAAATCTATTTATATTAGAGGAGCAGCACCATATAATAAATGTGTATCGCCTTGTGGAAAAGCGAGATACTGTATTACAGGGAACATGAATACTTTACGCTATACTCGAAAAACAATTAACACTGCAAGACTTAATTTCATGATAGATTCGAAATTTAGCCAATGCATGTACTCACCTGATAATGAATTTGCTTCAACAACGGCTCTTCTTAAAGCAGGCTTAACCGTGAAATCTTCCACTATCACCTTCAGTTTGTACATGCTGTCAATTGCTTCTGGTGCAAATGGAGTACCTCTCAGAACCACAGAAAAAGTGCGGTTCATGCAGTAGTCCTATAAAAATATCATATCCAACATAGAGAGCTGTATTTATAAATTCTCAAGAAAAAAATCAATTTGATTGAACGAAGGCGGATGAGACCTGGATCTTTTTCGTTGTCGGGTAAACGAATAATGCCGTGGTATTCAATTCGCAAACGACGTCATCCAAGATGATCATGGATGCCGGTGGAGGTGCTTCAAATTAAGAAAAAAAGTATTGGTCAAAAAAATTTTTTTCGAACAACCTGCTGGACTTTAATTGGACGGTTTTTGATTTGTACTCACGGGAAACAGCAAATGTTTGAGTCAAGAAGCCGACCGCGAATAAAAAGGAGGCTAAAAATATTTTTTGGCCTGCCATTTCCATGAAAGGTGTACCGGTAAATGTTGAAATCGTATCACAGTCACATTCTGTAATCAAAGAGAATGAAGAGCTAAGAATCCAATTTCGAAAATCAAATAAATTTGAGCTTATAGAATTTTTTTAAATAAAAATTTTAGCCAATGTCGGGGCTGGTGGAATTCTAAATTCGATAAACTGTACATCAGAAGAGTTATTTCCAGATTCTATAAACGGAATCACCTTCAAATAATTTTGGATTTATTGAGACTTTGCTGACCAATTTAGATTATTCTTAACCCTTGGACAGCGGAGGGTTCTTTCCCATAGCGGGACAGAGGCAGATTATTTTTGTATCCTCCCGCATTTTCACTTTTGGGAAGGTCACCAAAACTCTTCCAGGTGGGCTGAGGCAAAGTTGGGATTAATCTGAAAAAAGCCGATAGCCTAACTTAAAAATTTTTTTTTGCCGGCAAAATTTTTCTGTGTTCAGAGAAAAAAGCATGGGGATTCTTCCTGACTTTGCCCTTGACTACCTGTTATCATTTTTTTCCAAACCTCTCTGAGGTGCCACAAAATTTTGCAAAAATAGTCCAACTTCGCTGCACAAGGGTTAAATGGGATAGAACCCGTAGTCATCATGGGGTTGCACAGTTCTCAATTCTTTACTAGGGTGTTTTTTTTCTTTGTGGAATTATGATGAGTATTTTGTCCATAAAACACCAATTAAAAATTGTATCATGTAAGTCTATGGGAAAATGAGACTCAACTTGAGGACATTTGGACTTGGTGACACTCTGGATGCACCAATTATGTCATCATATTGGGGTCTCACTGTACTGTACAGCAAGCACTTACAATTCTGTCCCCAATATTAAATCATCACTCTAAAGCCTTTTATAACACATTTTATTCATAAAATATATTTATTTATAAAACTCAACTAAGGCGTGTAGCAAAGGAAGCCGTCCGTCTGGACACTGACGCCATCGATCCATTCCGTCGGCAAGAAAAGCGAGAATGCTGGTGATATGCCCTATGAAATTCGAGGAAAATATCAAGAAACATGGACAGCATTTCGTATATATATACTGTAGCAGGTCATGGGTCAAATGACTCAAATGTGAGGTCCGTTGCTTAGCAGCACTCCATGTCCACTTCGAGGTTTTGTGGCGCATTTGCGTGCGGGATAACTTATATACCGCCAATATTCGTACTAAACTCGCTATACTCTGTCGTTGACCTTAATGTGGCAGAAGCTGTTGTCCTTGCTTATTATCATCCCTATAATAATTATCGGCCCCGAATTCAGTTTACGACGCATTTCTGCAATCATTTCCTATGTTTTTTTGTGCTGCGGAAATTCGCTATGATTACATGAAGCGAGAAATGACAAAATTGATTTTGAAAATAAACGACTCATTTGCACATTCGAGACAGGAATGAGCTGTTGAATTCTGATGTATGTTCACAGTATATTCGACTACAATAGTGCAGAATAACATAATATGTAAACGTATACATGATCCAAATATGGATCATGTTTGTGTTGATATATACAGTCAAACCCCATTTAACCACCAACGTTCGTGCAGCAGAATTTTGGCAGTTTAACAGGGTTGGTGGTTTAACAAGGGAGGGGTGGCCAAAGTATTTAATGAATAATTGTATTTGATATTTTTTTTTAAATGTTTCAACCTCTATCCCTCCCCATCCTGCTTTTGGTGAAGATGACTCTGCATTCCTTTTTTGTGGGGACATTCTTTGCATCTGTAAATTGAGAAAACAAATCATTTGAAAAAATATTGCCAGAAATATAAAGCTTTGAAGAGAGGAGCCAAAAATTGGCAATTTATTGGGATAAAAAACAGTACAAAGATCCTGTTTGTTTGGCAAAAAACATTGGCGGTTGGCGGATAAATGGGGTTTTCCCATCCCTTCAAGCTTGAGAAGATTTGTTTGGGAAGAAAAAATGGTGGGAAGCAAGGGTGGCAGTTAATCGGGGTGGGGGGGGGGGGGGGGTTTAACGGGGTTCAACTGTACATATCAACACTGCCATTTCTGTAAGTGCCTATAATAAGTGACCTATGTTCAAAGAAGCACATAGGTAATTCCCAATGTGCAACACAATTGCTTCACTATATTGTTATCCCAAACTGTCAGATGTTATAAGAAATGCAAGATTATGCATCAAATGTCTTCTTTGCATAGTAACCCTTTATTCTAATCTGATGATTCCTTGTTGGAACAACCTAAGTTGAGAAGTATTAGTCTTTATGGCCAGGGTAAAAGCAAGTAGGTTTACTTCTCTCATAAGTGAATATGCATATATTTTGTATACTTTCAATACAGTCCAAACCAGCAATGAGTGTCAAAAGAGTGTTTGGACACTCCTTTATAGATTCCAGATGTGCAAGAACTGGCTGCACATGCAACAAAAGCATAGAAAGGAAACCTTGTCATTTGAATGACTGGTCACCTGACACTGTTGCAACATTCTGGTACACCAATTCCAGTGCATTGCTATAGGTGGACCACAGAATAAAAGAGTCATATCAAGAACAGGGTATTCCTAACATGTTCTGTGACTCACTATAAAGAGATGATGATAATATTTATATTTAAAAACAGCACTGAATGACTGGTTTTATATTGAAAAAGTTACAAAGGCATGGACTCTAACATAAATGTATTGGGTATACATGTTATCAAGAATTCTAATACATGTACCCAAATAATAAGGAATTTTAATACATGTAAGAAACAGGTACCCAAATATTATGGATATGTAAGATCAGTCCTTTTGGATACCTGAAAAATTCACGAATTGGACTTTTCAAAATTTTGCATAATCAAGGCTCTAATTATTTTTCATGAGTTTTTCATCCTTTTTGTCTCAATTTTCACTAAAGTTTCTTACTTTAAAAAAAATTTCATTTGAAGAAGCAAAAGTTCCCACTATAAAAACAAATATATATTAGAAATATTGTCATGGATTAAAGACCAATTTAATTTTAGTATTTTCGTCTGTTCTTGTATATTACTCCTATTCTTGAAAATTATCAATTCATTTTTGGAAGGCTCGATAGAAAAATATGAAAGATTCCGGAGGACGCAAATTCAGCTTTGTCGTCGCAGTTTTTAAAAATATCGAATTTAAAGTAGGATTTCAAAAAAATTATTAAACTAATCATGGGAAAAATGCTGGTTTTTACGTGACAAGGTTTTGGTATTTCGGTAAACTCTGCGACATCAAAAAATAGGCAAAATGCTCTTCAAGTCCTGAAACTTTAATTTCTTTCCTTTTGTTCGGTCCCCTTGCTTGCCTCGTTTGATTGTTCTGGCCATCATTTATATAGTGAGTGACAATAAAGGCTAGTAATCTGAAATAAATAGTAATTTTTAAGCGAACGTAAGGACAAATAACTGCGTATTGTGTTTTAGATTTATGCTCAGTAAACTTGATTGAGGGACACGAATGGAGTCGAACGGAGATTCGTCACGAAAAATATACATACAGAAAGCAATACGATGTCGTCTATATGTAGGCTCTTACATACATAGCTAGGAATGTCCCAAAAATCCTTGAACATATATTTATTTAGGGAATTAAACTTCAAACTCCAATTCGGTTCCATTTAAGGGCTGCTTTTGAAAAAGAGGAACGATTCAGCGCCTCATTCATTAATTTCAAACTTGGCTGTCGGGGACTCGACATGTATTTTTTTTCAGAAGATCCTCTGTTTTAGCAAGTTACAAATTTGTGGGTACCACTTCCACTTTAATCCGAATTAGGGTTGAATGTTTTGAAAAATATCCCTTCACGTGTAAATGCTCCTGCATAAGTTATTTCTGTTGACTGAATGAATGCTTCATGTATTTACTTTTGCAGAAGCCATGGCAAACTCTTTTGTTCTTAGATTATTTCCCGCAGAATACTAAAGCAAATCTTGAAACTTATTATATTGGCTCATTAGTGAAAAAGTAAGTTTCAGTCTTCGAAAACTCATCACCTAATTACCACTTCAAAAAGTCTTATGTGACGTATCCAATTCGAATGAACTTCAGAACTCCATGAAAGGTTAATATTTTCAACAACAAAAAATTTCAATGTTGACTTACCAAAATAGCAACTGACGGCTGCACCCACCCATGTTGTTTTCAAAATCTGCGCATAAATAATTTAGCCACGAACTTCACAATCTCCACAAGGCAGGGTTTTCATTGCCATGACGCCAAAATCGATGCCAACTCCGCGCACATATATTTTGCTCAACCTACAAACACGCCACTGTATAAATGGTCCCATTTAATATGCGTCAAGGTGGACTGCACTGCACTCATGTCCTTGACCCTCAAATTTTCTGCGATTGAAAATTTGGACAAACAAACGGACAAGAAAGCGAGTTAATAAAAACGTGTTAAAAATATCAAATTTAAGGTAGGATTTCATAAATTTTTTAAACTTTTCATGATGGGAATGATGCTCGTTTATATGTGACAAGGTTTTGATATTTCGGTAAACTCTGCGACATCAAAAAATAGGCAAAATGCTCTTCAAGTCCTGAAACTTTAATTTCTTTCCTTTTGTTAGGTCCCCTTGCTTGCCACGTTTGATTGTTCTGGCCATCATTTATATAGTGAGTGACAATAAAGGCTAGTAATCTGAAATAAATAGTCATTTGTAAGCGAACGTAAGGACAAATAACTGCGTATTGTGTTTTAGATTTATGCTCAGTAAACTTGATTAAGGGACACGAATGGAGTCGAACGGAGATTCGTCACGAAAAATATACATACAGAAAGCAATACGATGTCGTCTATATGTAGGCTCTTACATACATAGCTATGAATATCCCAGAAATCCTTGAACAATTATTTATTTAGGGAATTAAACTTCAAACTCCAATTCGGTTCCATTTAAGGGCTGCTTTTGAAAAAGAGGAACGATTCAGCGCCTCATTCATAAATTTTAAACTTGGCTGTCGGGGACTCGACATATTTTGTTCAGATGATCCTCTGTTTTAGCAAGTTACAAATTTTTGGGTACCACTTCCACTTTAATCCGATTTA